AAATGCCAAATTTTTGTTCTAATATTGCTTTTATATTAAATGGGTAACAATTTTTCTAAAATGGTGATATTTTATAAATCATGTAATTAAGATAATTCTGGATATTATTTTCCAGGTTTCTATTATATTAATCGAGAGTATTTCAACACATTTAAAAGTGTTTTAAACTCCTTAAAATCCTAACATATTATCAAACAGTTTCCAATATTCATCAAATTTTACATTTTCATTGCAAATACAATATAGGTCTTCCATAAATGTTCCCTTGAATTTTTGATGTGATTAACTATTTTTCCAGATTTTTAAGTCTTCATAATAATATAAATTCGTGAAAAATAGCATCCAGATGATAAAAATTCCCAAACTTTTTATAATACCGCCATTAAACATAATTAATCTGGGAAAAATATAAAAATGGGTTTCTAAATAGTTTTACTGGATTTTATGATTTTTTTGCATTTATTCTAACAAAAATGAAAATAAATAGAAAAAAGTTTCCAAAATTGCCCAAACTTTTTATAACACTGTTGTTATACATATAGAAGCTGTAAAAAATATAAATAATATTTTTCAATTAGTCTTGATATTTTTCTTTGTTTTATTCTCTTGAATAATCATTAATTGGTGAATACTTATCAAACAGTTAAAGTAAATTACCAATTTTTTTAAACTTCATTTACAGTGTACATAATCCAAGAAAAATACAATGATGATTTTTATATACTGTAACCCGATTTTGTGGATTTAAGTGTATTTAATCTTAGAAAATAGAAGAAAAATAGCATACTGAATAGAAACATCATTCAAAATTTTATTTAGAGTTCTAATATATTAAAAGGTTTGTTGGTAACTTTTCATGAATTTTGGAGGAATAGAACTATTTTTCCCATTATTAGTCCATTATAAATACAAAAATCAGGAAAAAATAGGTATGCATTATTAAAAATTCTGAAAATATTTCTTTGAGTATTCCACATGAGGTAGGATCTGAAAAAAATCTTAGATAACCTTTTCACATTCCATAAAGTGGTTTTATGATTTATTTGATTTAAACAAAAAGAAAATTCAAAACCATACCAAACAGTAACCAAAATCGATGAACCTTACTGAGATGTCATCATTTACTTCAGGGGTCATCCAAAAATTTACCTAGAATTTATAGACCTCATAAAGTATTTTTCATGATTTATGGCCTTGTTTTCTTGTAACAATTTTAATAAATTAAAGAAATGATAAAAATTCTTGGGATTTTCCAAATCCTCATATCATCTTACTGGATCTGAGGAAATTTTATTTCGAACAGAAAAGGATATCTTGATGTTTTTATGAATAAAATCATTCACATGCACTATTAACAATGTACTTTGATCATTAAGCTCTTTAACTTGATGTTCATCACATGCATCATGATTTGAAGACCATACATGGACATATTTTGTTCATAGTGAGGTTTTCGAAGGAAAAACTTGAATGCATAAGCTAGATGAATCTTCAAAACTTGTAAAAATTCGTATTTTAGGGTTTGCCATTGGTTTGGGTCCTTGGATTTCACTATCAAACAACATGCATGTTGTTCTTGGGTGAAGCCCTACCACCACCATCATCAAACTCGAAATTCATGAATATGTTCGTGAATGTTCATAAAGAATGGTGTAGAAGAAGGAGAAGTGCAAGAAAAACCTTTAAAACAAGAAAGAAAGTGAAGGAAGATGAAGGATTTTCGTGATTACCTTGAAGAACAACCCTAGAAGATGAAGATTTAATGGTTGAGGGATGTTCTTGGATGGAGAATTTTTTGGGTTTTAAGAGAGAAAAAGAGAGTTTGAGTGTGGTAGAGAGAGAGAGAGGGAGAGAGAAGGGAAGTTGGAGTGTAAGAGAAGATAAAATAATTGAAAGACTTGGGGAAGAGGGAGCATGGGATGTGGTGGATGCTTTTTTTGAGTTTGAGAGGGGCCTTTTCTCTCATAGTTAAATTTTTATATAATTTCTCTTTAATTTTTATAAAAGCCTAATTTTTATAAAAAGCTTCTTTATTTAATTTCTTAACTTACTAAAAATCTTTGTTTTTAGCTCATAAAATATGATGTATGTTTTATAATTAAATTTTTATGTCTTTGATTATATCTCATAACTTAATTATTTAAATTTGATATAATAAGGTTTATAACAAATCTTATAGGGCTTTTGGAACTTTGTTAGATATTTACCATCATGTTGAAATGAAATTAGAAGATTTTAATTTATTTTTAGGGTTTTATACCCCTTTTTTATTGTAATAATTGTTTAGAGTACATTCTAATTTGGGTATTGGCATTTCCTACAGTAACTAGACAACTTACTGGAATAGTAAGAGTAAAGTATATTCGTCCTAGATTTTTGTTGGATCCAAGTATATACGAGATTGTGACCTAATTTCTATTACTAGTTCATGACATGATGTGCATATATGGTTTATAAAAAGTTGAAAGAGTCCGAGAATGACCTGAATTTGACAGTTGTCACATGTATACCCCTAAACCCCCATTCGTTGTGGTAGATTCATCAAATAAGACTAGTTCAGTCACATAACAATGAATCTGAATTTAAAAAATATTTTACAAACACAAAACTCAAAATTGTGAAATCCATTGTACGAAAGCACTTCATAACATCAACTTTAATAAACTTAAAAAGGGCAATTGCTTAAGGGTGCCACCTAATTGGAAAAAATAAGGATAGTTCCATCCTTAAATTGACCTGAGAACCAAATGGATCTTGTAACTGGCGTGGGAACCAAATCGGTCAAGAATCAAAGAAAAAAAACAGTTGAAAGCAATGAGTGTGATGTTTACGGTGTAAGATGTTGGAGGGTTTCTCGCGACTTTTTATTGGCAACAACCACAACGTCTGCAACTCTGATGAAGATGGTGGGTTCAATTTGGTGGGTTCTACAACTAGGGCGGGTCCTACGGCGACAACAACGATACTGTGTTTTAAACCGATGACAATATTGACGAGCTCCAGAATTAGGGCTTCAACAACAAGTCGACGAAAATCATGGTGGTGACAATATTGTTGGGTTCAAGAATGGAAGGAGGAGGGAGAGTTTTTCATTGGGGCTCAAGGAATCGACAAGTACATGGGAGATGGTCGTTAGGGTTCTTAGTTAGTTCTTGATGAAAGAAATATATGGTATATGAGTTATCACGATTGAAAAGGTCGCTGGAAAACGAGTGGGCCATTTGTTTTTGTTTTTTTAATTATAAACAATAAACAAGTAAGATATAAGAAATAATTAAATTAAAAAATAAACAAATGCTATATAGTCATTTCAGGACTAAGCGCGAAACAAAATCAAACTATAAGTACGGTCCAAATTAAAAAAAAAAAATTAGAGATCAAAAATTCAATTTATCCAAACATTCAATTTATCCCAAATCATAGGGACCATTAGTGTAATTTACTCAATTTATTATCTTATTATCTTACGAAAGAAATGTCCTGATGGTTTGGTTTTGTATCATAAATCAGCACGTGAAGGAAAAGGTATTATAGACAACTGAATTCTTTAAAACCGGTGGCTTTTGCCACCTGTTTTTTGCTGTTTCACTCTCCAGTCTGTGTGCTTGGCATCTCTATTTATCCCCTACTTCGTTTTTCCATTCTTCATCAATCACTTGTGCAACAAACATACCTTCGATTCAAACAAACACCAACTTCGTCTAATTATTAACCATCTACAAGATTTAACCATGAGTTTCAGAAGCAGAGCATGGATGGTAGCCGGCGCTGTCGGGGTGGTGGAAGCCCTCAAAGATCAAGGCTTTGCACGATGGAACACCACCATCAGGGCAGTCCACCACCACGCCAAGTCCAATCTCCGATCAATCGCCCAGGCCAAAACCTTGACTTCGCCGGCAGCCATGGCTTCTAGCAGAAACATGGAAGAGAACGCGAAACAATCAGAAGAATCATTGAGAAAAGTGATGTACTTGAGCTGTTGGGGTCCCAATTAATTATCCATTTAGTACATCATTAAGAAAGGTTATACGTGAGATTCTGGATCTAATTAATTCAAAGTGTCTGGAGAAATTTCAAACCAACAAGTCGGTGGAATTGCACAATAAAGAGCACCCACCACCATGAGATCGACGCCCAAACTTGGGCTAAATTCCAGTCTACATCGCCATTTGTTTGATGAGTTCGAGTTTGTATTAGCTGTTAACATCAAAACTCTGATAGAAAGGTGGATAGAAATATATTGTTGAGATATGCTTTTGATGTAAACACTTACCCTCTTTTCCACAAGTACAAATTAATACACTAGTTTATCAATTATCATACCCGATAAATTCTTTACATATTTATGATATTTATGATATCGGTACACACTCAATACTCGATTCAATTTGCATATGAAAGAAACCCTCATCAGCTAGAACAATCCATTATCATTTATCCATACTGGTTTAAGTAATCACAGGAACCCAACTCGAAAAATAATCCATTGAACAAATATAAAAAACAGAAATTTATATTCGAAACAGATTTGAAGATTAGGACTATATATATTTTAGTAAAAAAGTTGTGTAATTAATCCACCAAACCACATGAACATTGAAGAAAAGGATATCAGCTACGTCGATATCAACCCACGTGTATTGAAACAGACAGACGTAGTGTGGTGTGTGTTCTCAATTCTGTACCCTATTTTTTTTTTTTTTTTTTTTTTTTAAAAAAAGTAACGTATTCAACGTGGCCCCAATCCATGAAATTGAGAAACCTGTTGGCTACTTACTGGTTGCCATCGATCATGAGTCACCCATATTTTTATCATTTCCAAGATGGCCAGATGAATGCACCTCTCATGGAGTCATGTGCTCCCTCAAAACCACCTTATTTTAACCCTCAAACCACTCTATAAATAAACAAGTCTTCCCTCATCTCTTCATTTCATCAGAAAATCGCAACATTACAAGTCTACACCTCACAACCACAATTCCTAGTTTCTCTCTCACAAAATGACTTCTGTAAACCGTGTATGGATGGCTGCCGGCGTAGCTGTTGTAAATGGACATACAGATCAAGGCTACAAACTTAAATCCCTCCTCATCAACTCCTTCCGACATGGCAAGAAGGCTTTCACCTCCGATCTCCGTCCACTTTCCGGCCTTCTAATATCAGACGTCAGTGTCGGAGACAAGAAGACAACACAGTCCGATGAGTCTCTCCGGCAAGTCATGTACTTTAACTGCTGGGGCCAAAGCTGAAGATTGGTTTGTGTTGTGTGTTTGGGAGGCTTTCTCGACGGATGAGAATTAATCGATGATGCGAGTTAAGTCCTGGTTTGAGATTTGGGATTTTGGGAGTGAGTCGTAAAATGGATCATTTCCTAAGGAAGAAGGTTACAAGTTGTAAATATCATTGGCTTTTGTAACCAAGACGATGTAAAAAATAATTTGAAGTAAATGTTACTTTTCGGAACTTGATATTTGTTTGTCATGTGCATATAAATTAAATCAAATTCTAGAAGTTCACATTGTAATTAAATTAAAGGAGATTAAAATTAACAAAAAAAAAAATTACAATGGTAAATTTATTTTTTTGAGAAAAAATATAAAAATAGCCCTAATAGTTAAGTTTCTCCAAAAATTATCTATATATAATATACTCACCAATTTCGCTATAACCTTTTAGGAAGAGAAAATTCATATTACAAATATTGTTCATTGCAAACTTCACTCTGCCAATTGTGAAATTGGTTCTTATAAAGAAAACAAGTTTTTGGAATTTTTTTTTGTTGTGATATTTAAAGCCTATTTTCACACAAAAAATTTTATGTTTAAAGAACTTTAGAAAAATACGATATAAATTTAAGAAGGTTAAAAAATATATCTTATATATGAGAGCAATTTACAAACGGTAATGTTTAAGTTGGCACGCATGTTGACTTGACTAACCGTTGACAAGTCAACGATCAACTTTTATTTATTTATTTTTAATCTTATTTTTGTCTATAAATACAATACATTTAACAACACATTTAACCTGATTTTTTATATTATTCTTTTCTTTATCTTTACATTTTATGAAATTCGCCACTTATCCAATGAAAAAATGGAGCAAAATCCAAACATTTTTCCACCAAATACAAACCCACAACCTAGCATAACCTCTCCTCTCACATCTGCTGGTTATAAAAATTATTTTAACGTATTATCCTCTCAAACTTTACCATAAATCCCATATCAAGGAGCATCTTTCAATCTCACCCCACCTCCAATCCAATTTCCTTTCTCACCCTATATTCAACAAAATATTTTTAGGCAAAACCCAAATTTACAACAAAACATTTTTCCGACTTTCTCTTCGATTCCACAACCACAAATAACCACCCAACCACAACCAACACAACCATCGGTTGAAATCGATGACAAAACACAAACGGGGGTAGTAGGAGAATGAGAGGGAAAGTGAAAGGGAAAGAGAAAGGTATACCTATTGAAACGGAAAGTGAGGAAATTCAATAATGGTGGACACCAGATAAGGAATACGCTTTAGCAGTAGCATGGTGTGGGACTTCAAAACACAGAAGTTGCGAAAATGGTATGAAGGAATGTGCTTATTTGGAAGCAATCCTCGTCAAATTCCATAATGTCTTGAAGAAAAAACTGTATCACAATACCAATAGCTTAATAGCAAATCGAGTAAAAAAAGTAAGCGGTGCACAAAATTCAATGGTATTTATAACAAGTTTTAGTCGCAACAGTAGATTGGAACCAATAACTTTAATTTGTTCAAATCCGCAAAAGAAAAATATCAGGTCGAGCTGGGACATGTGTTCGAGTTTGATACAACATACGAGTTGATGCGAGTAGATCCAAAATGGATTAAAACTCCTACATCATTGGATGTTCAATCAAAGAGGGCTCGAAATTCGAGTTCATTCGATGTTTCAAACGCACATACTCACATCAACTGATAGCTTATTTTATTTCTTTATTTTTATTAGTTTATTTTAGTATTTTAGCTCTTTTTATCATTATTGCATTGTATTTTATTTATTTTCTTTATTATGGATCATACATGGGACTTTCTATGTTGCATGAGGTATTTTGTAGGGTTTTGGAGCTTGTTGCGATTATGGATTAGCTTGGAAATGGGTTTTGTGGGCTTCCGAGACATTATTGGGCTTTGTGGATCCATTAAAGGAGATTTGGGCTTAAAAAGGCTAAAGACTTGGATGAAGTGGGCTTGTGAAGATGGATCATAGATTGTTATTTTGGGCTTGTAGCATCCATTTTTGAAGTTAAAAGATGATTGGTTAATTTGAATCATGTGAGATATGGAGGGGACCAAGGGAATCTTTGGTAGTGGGATGGTTAGTGGAAGAAAAATAAGCCAATAGCATTCCAACAGCACTTGCACGGGTGGAATCTCCGTCGCGTGGGTACCCGCGCAACTGCCCAGTTTTTGGTATTTTGGTCATTTGGTTTGCCATTACCTTAGGGGACTGGATCTATCAGCTATCACTTCTATTTTACACAATTAGAGACCAGAAGAAGGCGATTTTGGAGCTTGAGACTCATTTCTTTTCATCTTTCCAAGTTATTGGTAGTTTCTTTTATGCGATTAGACTTTTGTGATTGTTATTCTATTGTCATGAGTGGCTAAACTCTCTATTTTGGTTAAGTTTGGTTAAAACCTTTGAATGTTTGTGGGGTTTTTGAAGGATTAATGTTTATTTATCATTTATCTTATGTTTATGGTTCTAGTTCATATTTCTTATGCTTGTTTAACACTTTGATCATGAGCTTGGTATTTGAATGAGCAATTGTTGGTTTATTTCTTTGGTTTAGCATTGAATCATTGAATTTACTTAGAACAAGAGCTTTATGATGGTGGAAATCATCTCTAGCTTATGAATCATAGCTCCTTTATGGATTTATAAGCATTGACATCCTTTAGGAATTGGGGATTCCTTCATTCTTAAGGCTAATCAACTTTTTAGGTTCAATTGCTTAAATTGGATCTTTGATTTTAATTAAGAAGGTGTATTGTGGGCTTCCCCAACCTCCATACTACCTATGAGGAATCTTGGCATATCATGTTTCATGATTGCTATAACCAATTTGGGATAAATGATAAGCTTCACTTTGAATTCTAATAACAAACATATAAATGTTCATTGTGTTGAATTGCCTTGGTTAACCAATTATCTCCAATATTTGAGCATCTCACCATCTTGCTTGATTGCAAGCTTTTTAGTTATTCAAGTCTTTTAGTTTTCAAGCAATCACAACCCCCTATTTTTAGTTTAATTGTAGTAGTTAGTTTATTTGCACTAGTTCTAATAGATTGCATTAGTAATTGAATATAACCATTTCTCCGATGATCGATACCCCTTTTTACCATTATATTACGTTTTATTTGCAAACAAATGGTGTAATTTGCTTGGTGGACTTGACATCCCATCGTCAACCTCAACACTGACACTGATGAGATTCCATATGACATCAAGGAGATCTCCCTACCATGACAACCTGCGGGACACGATAAAGCATAACAAGCTGCAAAACATGCAGAAGAACTTGAGATGAAAGAAAAAAGATATAGCAAAAAAGGAAGCAAAGTTTGATGAGAACAATTTAATACAAAAAAATTGAGTTGAAACGTCATCACTTGGAGTTTCTTGAAAGACAAGTGTGGGAAGAGAAAGAGCAACACGAACAAGAACAAATGACGAATCAGTTGTCAATTCTTCGGGCTCGCAATGAGGGTTTGGCTTCCTAAGATTTGGAAGTGTTACAAACAATGAAGGAGAAGATTATGTCTAGTTATTTGGAAAATTTTGATTATGGTTATGTTAGGTTTAATTTAAATATTATGTTTTTTTTAGTTTTTAAATGTTTTTTTTTTTTAGTTTTTAAATATCATGATTTTTTTGTATTTTTTAAATGCTATGTTTTATTAAATATTATGTTTTATTTAAATATTATGTTTTATAAAAATATTTTTCATAGTTAAAAAAAATTAGAAACTAAAAAAAAAGTAAATAAATGATGAGATAAAAATTAATAGATTTTATAATATTTTATAATATGATGACTATTTCCTATAATGATGTTGTAATACCATTGGTAATGTAACGTATTAGGTGACAAAATGATATAATAACATGTTATACATATTCATTGCTTTGAAACATTCATTAGTATGATCAAAACCCATTTGGCAACGACCTTAAAAAATGGATGGTTAGCGGAGGGATTTTCTAATTGTCCAACTAAGCTAAAAAATTATGCCATACTTGCCTTCTTCTATTATTATTATTATTATTATTATTATTATTATTATTATTATTATTATTATTATTATTATTATTATTATTAACACTATAAAATCAAATCTATATTCAGTAAAATCTACAAAGTAACCAGAAATTTAAAAGTGCCTCTCTCACATGATAGTTGTCAAATTCATCATAAAATGTTATCTTTAATTTATTAAATATGACAAGATAACGTTAAGTGTATAGTAACTTAGTAAGATAATATCTCTTAATATAATAGTGTTTTTAAATTGAAATCACTTTAAGAGAATTGCATAAAAAACAACGATTTGATGCATCATAAATTCTTATCTATTAAATCATTAATCTGACAAAAAATAAATAAGTAAAAATGGCTATTGCCAAAATAATAGATTTTAAGCACCAAACGAGTGTAATGATATACATATAGAAAAATAGAAACTATGTATATAAAGACCAATATATACAGAAAAAGAATTTATTATGTTATCAAGAAAAGACTATCAATTGTTTAGTTTTATATCCATATCCGCAAGTGAAGGAGATGGTATTATTAACAACCAAAGCTTTTTAAAACCAGTGACTTTCGCCACCTGTTTTTTACGCCATAAAAAGTGGGAGGCTGTTTCATTGAACTGTCTGTGTGCTTCGCATCTCTATATATATATACCCTACTTCTGGTTTTTCCATTCAACATCAATCACTCATACTTCCTATTCAAACAAACACCTTCTTCGACTAAGTATTAAACATCTTACAAGATCATTTCATTATGAGTTTCAGAAGCAGAGCATGGATGGTAGCCGGAACTGTCGGAGTAGTGGAAGCCCTCAAAGATCAAGGCTTTGCACGATGGAACACCACCATCAGGACCATCCACCACCACGCCAAGTCCAATCTCCGATCAATCGCCCAGGCCAAAACCTTGACTTCGCCGGCAGCCATGGCTTCTAGCAGAAACATGGAAGAGAAAGCGAAACAATCAGAAGAATCATTGAGAAAAGTGATGTACTTGAGCTGTTGGGGTCCCAATTAATTATCCATTTGTTACATAAATGGATACAGGAAACGTTATCCATCGAGATTCTGGATATGGATTCAACATGTCTGGAGAAATTTCAAACCAACAAATCAACGAAGGGGTTAATTAGTCGGTGGATTTGCATTATAAAGAGAAACCACAGTCCACCACTATGCGACTTCAAACTCTGGCTAAACCCCAAATCGCCATTTCTCTGATGAGTTTTAGTTTGAATTAATTAACAGTTCTGTAATGATCCAAACTCTGATGGAAAGGTGGATACATTAATTGTGAATATATCGTTGAGATGCTTGTTGATGTACTACACATTTACCCTCTTTTCCATAAGTACAACAATACACGAGTTTATCAATTATCATATACCCAATAAATTGTTTCATATTTATAATATCTATGATCTGGGTACATACTCAATAGGCCCTAAAACAGTTAAAGAATTACATTTCTTTTTAATTAGACATCATCAGTAAATATTCATAGCAAATAAAATCAGCATACATCAAATTAAAATTAAATTGCAATTAAAAAGAGCATATACCAAATAAGCAATTCGCAAAAACCAATTAGGGGAAGAGTGCGCCGACTAGAGATACTGTTTCGATACCATTGTCGATGTAAAAGACCAAAAGACAAGGACCAAAGTCTCCTTTCCTGCAAACATTTTCTAGAAATAATAATCATTAGATTCTTGTATATATAATTAAGGATCTTTCACTTTTTTTTTTTATATTAATTTTATGCGTTATTAAAACCATCTCTTTTCTAAAACCATTAAATTACTTAAAATAAATAAATAAGATTTATATATTAAATTGTATTTTTTTTTTGTGTGTTTGTTGTGTTTAATATAGGAGGTTTTGATGTGTAAAAAATTATGTGAATTATAATAGACACAAATTAATGTACTGTTTTTTTTGGTAATTATAAAACGATGATTTGTAAAAATTAATCATATTCTTATATTGAAGAAGATACACCATTTTCGTTGGATACACAAATGAACATTACAATTACATGTTCTTTGCTTCATAATTTTTTAAGGAAAGAAAGTTTGAGTGATAATTTCTTTTATTTATACGAACAACCAAATGCGTCATTTTTAATTATATGGAATGAATAATTTAAAAATATTATATTATGGTTGTATAAATTATATTTTAGTTGTAAAACTAGAATTATTTTAATTTCAATGTAGAAAAACTCTTTTAAATTTAAAAAATATGTTTATCTATATTTCAATTTATATTATCTGTCTGCGGATGTTAAAAAAAAAAAAAAAAGTCTTCTTCCAAACTATTGATATTTGGTCCACCTCTTATTTTACAGATGTTATATCTCTTAAAAAACAAACAGACTTAAGATTAGGCGAAGATTAAAAAACATTATTAGATTACATATCTTATTATTTTGACAAAACTGCAAAAATGGTCTATAAGGTACGCATTTTTTCTGGGATTTAGTCCAAATGTAAAATCTGATTTCCAGGTATAATATTTAATTAATTTATTTCCATATTCTCACAGCAACTCGACGAGTTGGATGCCCCAACACGCCGAGTGGAGAGTGTAATGGTCGCGGGATCTTAGAGTCTATTCGACGAGTCGGAGGACCCTGACTTGACGAGTAAGAGTTGGGTGAGAAAACCCTAATTTTTAGGGTTTGTGTCGTATTTAAAGGACCTTAAGCCCTCATTTCAGCCTCCCTTATCATCCTAACCCTCTGTGAGAAACCCTAATCATGTGTATCCATTTGTGTGTATGTGTATGAGAGTGTGTGTGTGTGTGAGAGAGAGAGAGAGACTGATTTTGGGTGTTTTAGTACACATTTGGAAGAAGAGTGAAGAGCCTCAAGCCTTGAAACTAGAAGAGGCATGTGAATCAAGTGTTTCTATGTGCTAACTTCAATTTGGAGGTAAAAAGCTACCACCTTGAGCATTTCTTTTGATAGAGCTCTTTTTAGAGAGTTTTAGGGCTTTTCCCCCTTATCTTGTGGTTCTTGAGTTGTTTGAGCTTGTCATGGAGTTGAGACTCCAGATCTGGACAAAAAGAGGTCCCATGAGCCCAAAGATCCAAAATTTATCAAACTTTGGGCAAGTCTCCATGCATGAAACCCTTTATGGAGCTTCTTTTGGTATTTTGAGCCCTAGATGTCATGCATGAACGTAAGGCTTGCAACTTTACGTGATAAGTGAGCCTTAGGAGGCTAGATCCAGAGTATGAGACATCATTTCCATCTAAATACGTCTGGATGAGAAAATGGACTAAAGGGGCTCGGCGAGTTAGTGAGCGAATTCGACGATTCGGTTAAGGTTTCCCCCGATGAGTCAGGACGCGTTGTAACTCGTCGAGTTGATGAGACAACTCGAAGAGTTAAGTGGAATTTTCACAACATTTATGAGGAAACAAGGGAACTCTCCGAGTCACATAGATGCACTCGATAGTTGGGTTAACATGGATTATTGATTCGAGTGTTGACTTCTGTTGACTTTTAGGGTTTGGTCAAAACATGGATTGGAGACCATGGAAGGGTAAAATGATCTTTTTACCCTTTCCAAGGGTTAGAGAAAGAGTTTAGCTTAACTTATTTAGGTTGAGGTGATAAGTGTTAATTAGAGATGATTATGACGTGTAGGCAAGGATTAGACCGTTCGAGGGTTACGGGGATTAGACCGTTCGAGGGTTACGAGGATTACTTGCCTACTTACGAGATGAGTCTTCTCACTATACTTACCATGAGTGGTATCATTGTGTGACCGAAAGGTCTTGTATACATATGTTAAGAATTGTGATATCTTGCATTATGCATTGTGATTTATGTTGTGTATTATATCGAGCTTTATTGAGTTAGGACTGGAGGGTCCAACCCAAGTTGTGGGGCCGAAGGGTTCCCACTGAGACACACTAACCGGAGTAGAGATGGGAACGGGGGCGGGTATTACAGAGAACCTCAATCCCTATCCCCATCCCCAAATCCTCATTCGAATCCTCATCCCCATCTCCATCCCCATTGGGGAATATAAATAAACCCACATCCCCACCCCCAATGGGGATTGAGGATCCCCATCGAGGAATCGGAGATTTTTTTTTTCTCTTTTAATATGAAAACATTTACGTAAAAAAAAATCTAAATTTCAATTTTGACAACATAAGTTTAAATATTTTACAAAATATAAAAATATCCATAGATTTCATAAAAGTATAAACAAATTTTCTACCAAATTTAAATACATACAAGAAAAATCAAGTAGAAAAAAAACTTATCAGAGTGATATTTAAGGTAAAATAGATAAACAAAATACATAAAACAAATTATATATGAGTTTAAATTAGATAAAAGAAAAAAAATAGTATAATTTCAACAAAGTTATTATTAATGAGTTAGGTTACTTTGATCAAATTTTATGTATTGTAAATTATATTATAAATATATGTTTTATATTATTTTATGTATTGATATATATTGGGGGCGGGTCCAGGGTCGAGGATTAGGGGTATCCCATCCCCACTTTTATTCGGGGATTCCTCATCCACGTCCCCATCCCCAATCAACTTGGGGATTCCCCGGTCAAAACGGGTGTGGGTTTCGGGTTCCCCATCGGGTATGGGGTTTTTTGCCATCTCTAGACCAGAGGGTCTCTATCATGATATAGTCGTGAGAGGCTAATGTGATGTGTTGGTATTTCGGGGAACTCACTAAACTTTGTGCTTACCGTGTTATGTGATATGTGTTTCAGGTAGTTCTTCGGATCACGGAAAGGCGTTAGCTTGATTGTACACACGATATGAAATTTATGTTTTGAGGATCCTAGATTTTAACAAACAATTTATGAATTTGTGTTTGTGATAATTTAAACAATTGTGGTTTTGAAATGTGATATTGAGAATTATGTGGTTTTGAAAATGAAAATTTTGTTTGAAAATTTACAGTGTTACACCAAACCACAACTTTTTTGGAGTGGTTGTCATTTTGAGCTAGATTGCTTGTGATTTTGGTCATTTGAAAAACTGAAAAGACTAAAATATCGTTGATGTATATATTTTTCATTTTTTTAATCTATTTTTATAACTAAAAAAAAAAAAAAAAAAGAGGACCTACTCTCTCTCTCTCTCTCTCTCTCTCTTTCTTATTAAAAAAATCATATAACACTCTACATCACTACATCTCTTCACCTCTCCTCTCCTTACTATCGGAAAACCACCGTTATTCGCTTCTCATCTTCCCATTGTCGGAAAGCACCTCCTCCCAAATCTCCCTTTAAACCTCCATCTCCACTTATAACTATCCCTTGAGAATCACACGTGAGACTTCATCATCATTGTGATAACCCAAAAACAAAATGATTGGTATATATCATAATTAAATGATTATATTATTTTTTTAGAGAATTATAACTATGTGTAATTAGGTTTAATTAGGGAAAATAATGAGGATTAAACCCTAAAATCATCGCCTTGATTAGCAACATAAATTTGTGTGTATGAAGGGGTTATAACCGCAGCAACCATGGGCATTATAAAGGGCTCAAGAAACCAAGTGGAATGCCCGCTATAATTGCAAAAAAAAAAGGTGAAGATTCAAGTAAGAAATCGGAGGAAGAAGGCTGTGAAGATTTTTGATATTCTTTCAAGAAATTGAGGTATGTTCTTCAATTGAAGCACGATATAATCACTTGTTTAGGGTTAGTAGTTCGCATTACGTGTTTTGGTTCCGTCTCTTGTCTCTGTTCGGCAAATAATCGATGGAATTTGAGTGTATAAAAAATTTGGTTATATTTTCTGAAATAATCTGGTTCGAAAATTTGTTTTTATTAATTGAATGTGTAAACATAATAGTAAGTAGTGGAGACACTCGATGAGTATATTTTATTTGGTAGTTCTTCTCGTAAAAATCAAAACTCTTATGTACTTAAAAATGCCAAAAAAATGAAAAAATAAATTCGGGTTAAGAAGATAGCTTTTGGAGTGCGTTTCTTTGAATGGGTTAAAAACCCACCT